ATATATATATAAACACGACAAGCCTAGGGCCTATTCCATCTCTTATTGATAGACAAAATTATCAGCGGTTTTCGGTTTTATCTTCCTACGCATTGGTGTAGTTGCGAAATACCTGCCTACGTCTTTGCAGTGATTGAATTTTACAGATTAACCTCGTTTTTCTCACTAGATGCTGACTGGTCGCATGTACTACCCGTTTAGAAGAAAATGTGAAGTAGGACGTGGAATCCACTAATGCGCGTTTGCAGTGAGACTGTCAAATTGCCTGTAGTGGAAATTGTATGGTGTGCTTATGGGACGGTAAACTTCGTTGTGTATTAGTTGGGACAACAGTAGCTAACAACTAGAATGCCTCCTAGCGTTTGACTAGATGACCGTTGATCTGTTCACCGAAATTAACAATTGGTTTGTACACGTACGCACTCATCTGCTTACTGACGATATCTCCTTGACTGGAGATGAAACGTTTGCAAGGCAATTGCCACGCTCGGCCAACAGACCTGATAAGCCACAAGTAAACGCACCCGAGCTAGCAAAATTTCGATACATTGACAGCCAGAATGCTTGTTTTGAGTTGGATGTTCAAACATGCCAGTGGGTGATGTCATAACGTACATTACGTTGTCGGACAGAATCGCCGATTGGCAAGTTATCGCGTAATAACTCAGATTTCTGTGTGTGTCAACTGGTATTCCACAAATATACATATCGTAGTTTTCTGATGAAGTTGGCGTGTGCTGATATAATACCCCTTCTTATTTATCCTTCGAACTAACTGGGCTTGGCATGTTTACAAACAATCTATTTGGTGACATTGCTTTTGTTAACATCAGTTAACTAAGTATTGGTTAGCAGCTATTTATGCCCACTACCGACGCTACTGATTTCTCCACGAGAATCTACGCCCCATTTAACCCCTCATCAGCCAACATGGTAATTAGGCCAGAAAGGCAAAACATCATATCTGTTATCATAAGATTCGTTAAAATGCGGTAGGGGGATTGAAACGTACGGACGGTAAAAGGGACAAACGTGTCACGGGTTTGCACCACTTTGACTGTGACTACAGTGACAACTGTTCACTAGGAAGACCAGCCACGAAGTTGAGTCGGCCCACATTAGAACACACTGGATATAATCTTTTTGAGCGTTTTTGGCATCCTCGTCAAATCAAAACCTGCCTGGCGTGAGTTGAGCTGTTACACTGTAGGCAGGCTAGCACAGTTGGTCGAGACACATAACACAGAACATTCTGAGTCCTTGCAGCCAACGCACCGCGGTCTACCTGTGTTGCTTATACCTTGTTACCATAAAAATATGAGATGTTCTGATGGTTACAAGTGGACGATCGCTGCATACATTCGCACCTATACAGAATTTCTGACCTGAACTAAGCAGTACGCTCTTGCGAGAGATGCCAAAGTTTAAAGAACTCCGTCCTTCACTTCATGAATGAGTTTATTTCTGAGAGTATTTCCAGTTTGGCTAATAGCTCGTCTCCAAGGGGGTGAAGCATATGGCTACATACACTTCTTTGCCTGCGACAGTCAGAATGGATAGGAGAATAAGATCAAACTTGAGCTAGCCGCAATCACTTCAATGGTGAAATATACAAGCTGTATCGATATGTTTGCTTGATTGGTTTATACAGGATGGACTGGAACAGCTGACGACAATTTTCCAACGGGACAGCGTCCTCTGCGTAGCTTAGTCATGAGACTGTTTGGTTATGAAACGTCTACGACCAAAAGATAAACAGAACGAACAAAAGAAGGAGGAAACTGGATATGCTTGACGGGATCCAGTAGCGATTAAAGAGGAATCAGACAAGAGGGGATGAATTCTGATAAAGAGCCTAGGGACAACATAAAGGCAACATTGATGTCCACCCAGAATAAATCGTCAGCCATTGATTTATACAACGTCACTCCTTGTTTGTCGCAGCAGACAGGTTTCATCGGTATGGTTCCAATATCCATGGAGGAACATCAGGTCGTGGAGGAGAACGGTCCATCAAGGAGTAAGATTTTCTGTGTCTCCGACTCGACTATTATGAGAGCCATTCACCAGCGGACCGAGCAATCATTTTCTGGCCTTCCGTGTAGGTACGAGCTATGCTGAATCTGGCACACGTTCTGCGGTCACACTCTGGTATCCCGATTTCCGCAAATCAGCTAATCATATGTGTTGTAGTGTGCCAGCACAACAGTGATATAATTTCAGAGGTAGTTCATCTTTGCCGAGATCGGCCCGAACGGAATGAGTTACGGTCATCATTTTTGCTCAGATCAGTAACATTTTTCAGCATGGTTATTTCATCATGTCTGCAGCATCTCTCAATTAGATTAACGGATGGTTGTTGGTCTTTTCGCCAAGCTTGGCAGTTTGGATTGCGAACAGAGCAGCGCAGCCGAGCCACCTGTACTCCACATCGTTGCCAATACATCAGCAATGTTTTGGCTGGAAATTAATTGGAACCATGTGCAGAAAGTTCCTCGCTGAAAATAAAAGCATAATACTTGTTGTTGTTGTCCTAGTGGAGATAGGGCCGGATATCAACTGGCCACCGAACGGAGGAAAGGGTTTAATCAGGCTTCTTCTGAGGACTATTTTTGACGGTTTTACCGGCAAGCAAACCAGGTGGTGCATGAGGTCTTCAAAGAACTAATATCGGTGACTGAGTTCCAGTTCACGAGCCCACTGAATGAACACCAGCCATCCAGGATGCCCATTAAACTTTCGACTAAACTTTCTCTGCCAGGTACCAGCTGGTCGAACAAATATGGGCCCAGACTCCGGAGACAAGGGTTCAAGAATGTCCGTCAGTGGTTCCAAATCAAGAGTGACCTGACTCGACTAGATAAGCATTTAGTGGTACTTAGGCGGGAGAAACAGTTTTCTTTGGTGGAACGACCTACATCTAAGGGTGTAGTGAATGGACATTTCTAAGCAAAATCTAACTACATAGTTGGTTTTCTGGGGGGATTTTCAGAGGAACAGGTAATTTTCAGGCCAACGGGGGATCTTTGGTGTATCCTTTCACCTACTTTCCATATATACCAATATCCCAACAAGTCAATCAGCAAAAAAAGGTAGGTCATTTCTCCTTAAACCCTACGTCTACCTGAGTTGATAAAAAAATACTTGGCCTTATTATACGTTTAGAAATTCAACGGTTTTCCAAGGATAGCGCTTCCGGATTCCACTCAATCTGGCTTCCGTAAAGGAGGCTGGCACAGTTCTTGGGGAGGCACATCCACTGGAAATCGGATCCTCTATTTAAATCAGAATCTGAAGTGCCGGACATAGATATTGAACGAACTATGCAGAGTTGAATTTTACCGGCGGTACTCAGAAAAACAGGCAGAGAGGGTAAAGGCGATGAACTCACCTGTGGTAGCGACATTACAAAATCGTGTATATTAGCTTTCTTCGCGGCGGCTATAATCTCTTCCATGGGAACTTTTCTGGTGTTGTCTCCGTAAGCAATGTTCTCCTCTAGAGTCAGGTTGAACAAGTTCGGTTCCTGAGAGACAACGCCGATTTGAGCACGAATCCAACTAGGTGCCAAATCACGCAGATTCCAGCCGTCGAAGAACACGCCACTCTCGGGACCATGATTAGACGGGTCATAGAAGCGTTGGAGTAGTTGCAGGATTGTGGATTTCCCGCATCCCGATTGGCCCACAAGAGCAACTGCCTGGCAAGGCTCAACAATGTGTGAGAAGTTCTATGAAAGAATAACAGTAAAGGTATATATTCATTTCTGGAGATGCCCGATAGACCGGTCGAAGTACAATTCCCCTGAGAAAGAGCACTCACTCGTAGAATGCGCAATCCCTTGCGAGTAGGATAGCGGAAATAGAGATGATTGAAGCACAATCTTCCCGTGAATGGCACGTCCGGGACGAGACCCACGTTTCTCGGAATTCGTGATATCCGATCAATCGTACTCAAAATCCCCCGTGCTGACTTAAGCGCTTTTTTGGCTTCAGGTCCAAAGGAGGTACTTCGTCCAAGAGACTGTGCTCCCATGTTTAAGACTGAAAATGTGCTGAAATTATATATATGTATTTGTAGCGGATGTACTTGCAGCAAATCGGATCGAAAAAATATATACGGTTGCCTGCAGAAATATACCACAAGGTTTACTGCAAGTCACAACATTTCTTATTCATTATTAGCGCTACAACTGCTGTTGCTCTGCATCCAAAATCATGAATGAAAGTTTGACTTCCTCAGGCATACTGAGCAGACAGATTTTTTTTCGCCAAACCCTGATTTTAGTCCACTATCAGTGGACGTTCCACAAATCCGATGGCATCGCTTACCAATGAGACTGTAGAAAAAAGGCATTGTGAACAACCAGCGGTTGTTCAGAGAAGGTGGAAAATGAAAACTTCCAATAGCTTTCAGTAGGAATTGAAAGCCATCCCAGTTCGGTCTGGCGTATTTGGCATTCTCGGACCCATGGCATCACTTAATCTATTCGCATTTAAAGTAGACCTGATTACGCAAGCTGCCTCAGAGTCTGTCTTACTCAAAAGTCTTTAGTTTTCAGAAATAGAAGTTTCTTCCTTATCTGAAATCAGAGTCGTCTTTTAACTCTCCTGGAGTGCGAGCAGCATCAGATGTTCGTTCTCCCTCACAACTTAATCAGTATTTGTTAATATATTGGTGGCCACAACAACGACTTGTCAGGTTACTGGCGTAAAATTTAATAATCATACCCTTAATCAATCCCTTGCGTATGTATTTCGACCACGCCTTGAGAAAATACAACGACGATATCATTAGTTCAAGGATGAGAGGGTTACTTACCGAAACAGAGCCAAAACGTCTATTGTCTCTTTTTCGACCAAGTAAGCACCAAGACTGAATACCGCGGAGAAAGCGAACATTGAAATTGATTGACTCAGGGCATAGACCAATGCAGAGAGGAGGCAGTTTTTAATGACGATCCTTAATTTGAACAAATACGGCAGAAAATGATGTTCGTTTCGTGATGTTAATACCAAATACGTGTTATTAGACATATAAACAGGGATAGTTTAGACACTATTCCTGCGACCACTCCTCTCACCCTAGTTTGTTCTCCAAAACTAATTGCCAAATTTTAGAGTTAACAGTCACTATGTGAAGTGCAAAAGCTACGAGGTTGAACCGAAAACAAAATGGTTTGTTAATCATGCACCTATCCTAGCGTTTTGACAACCGAATCAGTCGTCAGTGGACTAAACTGTGCCAGCGAGAATCAACGTACTACTTATAAGGACGGCTTTTGCAGTCTTCTGGTATCTGAAATCAAACGGTACTAAGTGAGCTCTCGACGACATGCTGAAGCTCAAACATGCTGCACTTTCTGTCGAATAACCGCTCAATTGGATGAGTTAGGCAATCACTGAAAGCGTATCTGACATAAAATCCATAGAAATATTCAAGTGCACAACCGACCGAGACGTCAATTTATCGGTTCTGCAAGTAAGGTGGATCTCGATATATTGAGATCTTGGTAATAATTCCGTTTTTAAGGTGACAAACAGAGCGTGAGGTCACCCACTCAAAAAAACTGATTCACTTTTTCGATATTTTGCATCATCTAGAAGGGCCAAGCGTCAGCATCAACCAATATTCAGCTAAACGAAACGGATTGTGCTGCAACTGATGGAAACTTAAGCTACAGCCTCTAACAAACACTATTTTATACTTCGTATATTTAGCAGCTTGTCACGAGTCTGAAATACTGCGCACCTAAGTTTTGTGGTTAAGCCATTTGATGTTCACGAACACATCCGTGGCTGTCATGTTACTGAATCATGGACTGAACCACCAAGTCGATTGGAACCAGGGAAGGATGGCTGGCATGGTGATCTTGGTCGAAATGTTTCTGGGCTAACTAGCGTCCCAATAAGAAAATCCATGCTGGTCACCCTCAACGGATAGATAACAAAACAAAGGCAGTGCCAGTAGATGACTCATCATTGTAAACTTATGGGAACTTTCCCACGGTTTGAGAAGAATTCACTGCTGAGAAATTGGTGCGCTTGGAATAATCAGGAAGAGACTTAAAGCTTCCCTCAATGGGCTCATCTGGTCTTCCTGCGTCACAGAATCGGATTCTGTGCTTAATGACGAGATATTGAAACGGGAATGCAATCTCGGGGCTTCTGCAAATGAGTAGCTATCGATTCATGTTGAGGATCAACTTAAGCACAGCAAATTTCGTGATTTTTCCTCTCTGTGAGCAAAACTCTACTACAGTTGTTGCCAGGACGCACTTAATTGGGGACATACATCAGATCTAATATAATCTACTAGCCTCCCACTATGGATGAAGCAAGGTTGGAATGGTCTGGTGAACAATTCTGACCTCCCCTTTCTCACGCCTCAACACTTGCTATCCTTTTGAATCTACTTGGTTGTATTCAGTATTTTAGTCGTTTCTTTGACAAAAACTCATTGTATAACAGATGTGTAATTCACTTGCGGTGAGATATTTTGTTCTGAAAATCCTAATATCATGGCGCAGTAATGCACTTCATTCAGCAGCGCCTTTTTGGAAGAGGGCAAATCCATTTATGTTTGTTTTTCCAAGAGTAACGATGCAACATGTTAGATGAAAGTCAAGGCAGATTGGAACTTTTCGCAAAAAGTGTATTCAGCAAGGCTCCAATCAAAACACCAGGATCATTTTATCAGCAAGCTCTTTAATGGTGCTGGCGTCTTTCTCGTTTACGCAGTGGACTGCACTTCTTTTGTGCCACGCGTGCCTAGTTTCAGTACTTATGGAGGAAGTTCATTCTCAGTGAAAGTAGTGGCAACACTGGATGGAGAATCAGGGATCAACAGAGGTGATCAGAGGTGTCATCATACGGAATAATTTTCTGGTCACTTGGTGAAAAGTGGTGCCCCCGGAATAAACCGCCAAAGGGACGTAAAACGGAGCAACCAGCTTAAATTTAATTCAACTGAGACGCACCCTGTTGCAAACTCCTGGTTTTAATGACACAGGGAACATGAACTCTTTTTCAGGCGTTTCAACTGCGTGAAGTATTCCATTTAAGGTTTACGGTTTACGGTTTACAGAATGAAACATGCCAAACAACGAAGTACAAAAAATACCTAGGAAAATTTGTAAATGTTGAGATGTGTAAAGAAAGTTGGTATCGATGGTTGCATGATTTGGTTAAAAGGAAACGGTCCATCGCCGTTTGTTCAAGCGACAAAAATGTGGTAAGAGGTATCCACAACCGTCCCGAGACACTCGTAAAAAACTGAGTTTCAGAAAGAATGAAACACAACCTCGAGCGGGGCTGTCTATAAAACCCGAATTCCACTCACATACAAAACTACGTTCGTTCTCAAGTTCATCAGTAATTAATTAATTAGTTAATTAATCAATTAAATTAATCAATTAATACATTTTCCGAGAAGCAAAGTTTTGGATCCGGTAAAAATGAAATGATTGGATGCTTATTGAGTAGGGATACAGACATTTAGCTACTAATGCATCGATTTGAGGAGGACGGGCGACGGCCAGCAGTCATTTACTTTCAACTGAACCAGTTTTTTCGTGACACAACTACGCGCCCACCTATTGAATTATCTAGGAACATTCTCACAGAATTTTAAAACCACCATGATCAGTATCGAGCAGAAAAATCACTAGATTGTCGAGATGTCTGTGTTCTGCATAGGGGCATATAGTATGTGTGGAAAAGCGAAGATGCACGCAAGGGTAAGTAAGCCTCACGCTGGCACTGTTGGAGCGAAACTTCTATGCTGAGTTTATATGGTATCTCCTAAGGTCTGAGAAGGTGAGATCACTTCACCCGTCGTTGAAATACAGTTGTAGAAATTGGAACGTTTTTTTCAAAAAAAAAACTATGGATAACGGGAAAGAACTGAGGGCAATGCGACATTTGTTCATATTTTGCTGAAGCACCAAAATAAATAATCCGGAGCGTATATCCATACATATAAATAGACCTAACACGTTGTGCGATACAAACATTCAAGGCTTTGGTAAAATGAGTCAAGTAAAAACTCCTTTATGCCTCCAAAGGAAGCTCGACGGCCAAGTAAAAACATTTCGTGCAAAGTGCGATCACCCACGAATGATTCAGCTCCAGAGTAAACATCACTGTATGGAGATAGCCGAGAATAACATCAGAAATATTATTAAACGTCCTCTCAAGTAGTCAGTGAAAATTTATAAATGAATGAGGAAAATTTGATGTCATATGTACCGACATATGTACCGACTGGTAAGTCCTTTCTAGCGCATCATCATTCGATACCATAGCGGATTAATCACCTGGAACAGAACTTCGCGCCTGCTGCATCCTCTATTCAAGAAGAGCTAACACTGAAAAGATCCCACAAGTAGAGTTCACAGTTCGAGATAAATACACGCGGTCAGATGCGAAAAAATGAAATAACTGACGGCAATACGAACAGAACATTTAGCAGATCTTATCTATTTATTTAAGGGATTTCATTCATTTTTACCAGATGTTTATAGAAATAATGACTGGTTAGATTTATACAGAAAGAATTTAGAGAAGCTAAATGGCGTACAAAATATACGTGAAACGCATGCAACGGTACCATGCATGCCGATAAACGTTATCGTGGTAATTTCTAATCATTGAGGCAGTTTCTGTTCAATCCGTTGTGACAGTATTTTCGGAATCCCAGAATGCAAATCAACTGCTAAGGACAGTAACTCCGCGGCAGACTCACCGTTTGAAGCTTTGGGTTTATCACTCGTGTATTTTCAATAAAGGTCTTCCATATCAAGTGTCTTGGGTTCGACACCCAGTACCATCAAAGATATGCACTGTTTGTGCGTCTCACCAGAAACGAATCTTGAATCAAGTGTTTTCCTACCCAGTTGTCGACTAACTAGCACACTGAGCGATTCTGTCGGCTAATACGTGAGCAGATGACGGAAGTACCATTCAGTTAGGCACAGACAAGAGTAACCGTGTGGTATCTTAACAAGTAACTGTTGAGAATTAGGACAAATAACCTACTTGTAATCGCCAGCCATGACTCGTTGATATCGTTCGCTAAAATAGTCCTCCAAGTTCAAGGCAAAAATGGTTCGGCCGCTACTGATGGCTTCCTGAGCAATCCGCATTACTGCTGTTTCATCGACACTTCGTTTCATCCCGGCTGCATTACGAATCTGCATTGAGATGTACAACGTGAGAATGTCTGATGCGGCACAACAAGCTAGTTTACATGGTACTTAACCTACCAGAAACTTAATATTCAAGAGTTCAATACTATGGCATGGATAGATCAAAAGTTTAAAAACTGCATTGAAGTCAAATAGATTAAACCGAAATAATCGCTTAATCATCTGGGGAAAATATTCCACGAGTGGGTAGAACGCAAACAGGTTTCATTCTAGTTTTGAGCGCACCACTATTAAACCAAGCCTCAAAAGTCAGTAACAGCAATATTGTCATCCTAGAGGCAAAAGATGACATAAAGCATTGGAACGAAGTAAATGCACACATCTGAAAAAATGAGTTAAGTCGGGAGCCTACGGAGGCCATTTTGTCGAGACATTCAGACCTTAATCACAGGAATCCTTTCATCCACCTCTCTCACTGGACACGGTTGGGTACTAGGGTTCTGTGTTTGGTTCCAGATAGGAACACACAACTGGCCGAGAATACTCTGTCTCAAACAGCGATGTTTGATTCTTAGTATGGGTGGGTATGCTCTGATAAGTTGCTGACGAGTTATTTTTTCCCCACGTTTGCTATGGAAAGCATTTGAGTCGCTCAACTCCCCTGCCCTAGAAAATAAGTTGATTCCTTTTTCTCTTCCTATCCGCGCAAGTTTCATCTCCTTATTTTATGGAAAGCTGTCGATACAAATATCTCTCTGAATTACCAGGTTTAATATCTTTCACACGAAGGGGGTCCACTTTCTAGTGATTGAAATTCCATCACAGTCAAAATTAGGTACTGGAGTGGAGAAGACTACTCTGTAAGGAGCATAAAACTATCAAAAAACGGCGTCGGTGTTATTTTTTTTCCGTCGTATATCTCCGGCAGTGCAGTGTCTTGTGCTACAAATCTTGTCCTGGCCCCAGAGCGATGATAGAAGTCAAAGATTAAGGGTTCAGGTAAGTTTCGCCTATATCAACTAAGGTAAGCTCTGTCACTAACGACTTGTTTGTAGGCTTCTTCACATGTTACACATTAGAAACTGTGTTGATGGAGTGCCAAACCTTCCTAGACCACCAGATTTGGGCGTTCATTTTTCCGGCTGGCATCACAGAATTTGACTGCATGAAAATACTGTTTATGGTCTGTGTTTGTAATACTTAAAACAGATCTCTAGTTGTTCCTGCTCTCGCTAAGACAGGCTCTTGCGTGGGCACTTTTGGTACAGCTGGGAGCAGGGCGAAGCACAGTGGTTGCTAACCCTGTTTATGACTGTTACCCATCGCTGCCAACCTATCCGAGTGACCGATTCAGGAAGCGGCCGAGCTAAAGAGGGGTGCATCTCCTGCTCGCCTAACTTGCCCATCTGCCTCCATTATGTAGCATGACTTGGCCTACGTGTAGTATTTGAAGTAGACACATCACTAGGTAGAACTACGTGCCGTCTGCACTACATAGCAGCAACAATAAAAACTGATTTATTCTGTATCAACTTTGAAGTTTTAAGGTCGAAATCGGGTTTGACAGTGCCGTCCTCCGAACTATTTTCAAACTATTTACCCTTCATGCCATAAGACTAAATCACCAAGCAATGAAACCTGAACTTTCGATAGGACACCAAAATTTCTCCACTGTTGACAAGGTCCTACTAATTGAAATTGTCCTCTGTTTTCGGTAACTTAGTTAACAACATTTTTATACATCCCTCATCGAAATGAATATATTCTTCAGTCACGTGATCCAGTTCAAGTAACAGCGAAAGTTTCTTGCTTCGCTGATAGCTACTCAACCACGTACGGTTTAGCGTCGGTTGTCTAGCAACTACAGCACAGTTATCATGGTAAAACTTCCTGGAGGGTATCTCCAGTCCATGATGTGGAACGAGTAGACCTGTGCATGAGTGTGCTAGAAAAGTATTTCAAGCGCTTGTTTGTGAAACAATGCGTAGAAACAGGTTTGAACCTCGATGCCTAGTCAGTGTTCCTGTATAGGGATTGGAATCCCGGTCATCAAAAAGAAGCCTGTGATACAAATCACTGGGACGGCATCTCACGTTGCTACACACTTCACATAGTGTTTATATGTAACCTGTTTTCCAGGCGAACCACACAATGAAGGTTTGTGGCATAGCATTCTGATACTGTATCCCAATAACAGCTTGACTGTTTATTGGAACACAAACTGAGTTTAGCGAAATACTCTCAATGGCACATTGTGTTCGTGTTAACCAAAGACAACCGAACTTTACGCAAATCGCTCGGTTATGATTAACCCCAAGAAGAGGATGTCGTTGCTGGACCGCCGAAGAGGACACAGCAACCTAATGGGTAATCTATTCTTTTGGTAAAACAAACTAGGTTTACTTTGGTTGGAACTCCTGCGGACTAACTATAAGGAGAAAGAGAAAGAGAACAAGAACACCAATGTCATATTCGGGCCCACCTCATTTCTATTTATCGTAGTTCCTCTGTGTAGACTCTGGATAGTTGCCGAATAAATTAACCACGCAAGATACAACAAATTTCAACCTAGATGCACCACGGTTATCGAAATATTAGGAAGCATATTCACATGTACGTACACTTTCATTTCCCATATCGTCGGGTGATTCCTTAGTGACCTATTAATGAACTACAATTTGGTGTGCTTTTTGCTTTTCGCCAAGCGTTTGCGTGCACCAGGTTTACAGTGGATTTGCGCAACAGTACATTAGCACACACTACAGGACAGTTTGTCTAGAGTTAAGGATCACAACGCATCTCTCACCGTTTCGGTCACATGTCCCCAAGTTAGAGGGAAAAAAGACTTGAAAATAGAGAACACTGTGTTGTTGTTTTTAGTTGTGTAGAATATAAGCAGCTCGTTTGCGCTGCCTGGTTCTTGGTCTGTTCGCTGAGGCCGGCAGTCGTCACCCTTCAGTGGCGAGTTTGTTCAACATTCGCAATTCAATTGCAAACTGTAGCGAACACACTATTCATCAATCAATCAATCCTCTCTTTTCTCCTCTTGAGGGATCACGTAACAAATTGGATCGAAATCGTTCGCTGTCACGGACCTGTCTCTTCTCGCAGAGAGTGTGCTATTCAGCTAGTATCCAAAGTAGCATATAAAAGTATCTTCTAGTGAAAGTTCAACCTAAACATCATTCAGAATTAGGGCCCATAGACCCCAGTAATCAGTGAAAGAGAGTGTGAAAGACTCACTTGGAACATCCCAGCTATCACAAGCAGCGGAAAGAATAACAAAAACAACAAAGTCAGCTGCCAACTGTACACCAGCCCCACAACCAGGGAAGTTACCAGTAAAACGATTGCCTGTAGTAATGCACCGAGTTGGGATCCGGAGATGCCCTTCACCTTCGATACGTCTACCGCAAGTTTGGCTGTGAGCGCACCGGCCTGATTCTCTGGTAGATCGAACCAGCCCATTTCCTTTTGGTTTAAAAATGGAAAAAGTTAGATGCAACTGTGGCTTCAAAAGATTCTACTGTGCAACAAATCGGTTATCCTAGCAAAAATAATGGAAGAACGATCTTTACTTTCACGTGCGTGTGTTTTTAGCTGACCACCAGGTGGTCAACAAGAACTAATAGGCAGTTCTTGTTGAAAAACCAATGCACCACAATTTGTCTGATCTCCCAGATTAACCGGTTGTCGATACCATTGTCTAAACTCTGTCCCAGGTTAGTTTTAGTAGGGATATGGGGATATGCATAGTACCAAGCACTTAGCCATTCCACGAGATATGGAATAATATGTGAACTATTCAGTAGCTTCTGGAAGTAAAGGCGCGGAATACTATCAGAACCACCTGTCTTCCGTAGTTTCCACCTTAACATATGCGATATCCTCAACACATACTGATGGAGGCAACTACCAATAAAGTCACACCTTATTCCAATTTGGTAACTTCCGACGCGGTGCTAAAAGCTACCAAGACTAAGTGAAACTAAATACGAAATTTGGAGAACTTCAGGATGAGCGATATCCTGTTATAAATACGGCGTTTTATATAGGTATTATAATTTAAGGGAGAACGCCAACTCTCGCTTTCTACCACGTACACGCCATCTACTCCATCCGAGACATGAAAGTGAATTTTACAGCTGCACGTGATTCATAGCCTTGTAATTGTGCCGCACTCTGGATGCGGGTCGTACCTATCAGCCAGTCACAGTCCCTGGAGAGGGCCAATGATTCGGTCAAATGGGCAGTAAATATCGGAAGGTTTTCAGGTTTAAATTGTCCAAGTTGGCGAACCACTTTCCAATCACTCAGATGAGTACCACACAGACGTTAATACCAGTATTATTTCGAAATGTTTTACGGTACCAATACGGCCTGTGCTAGGCATTCGAATCATCAAAGGTGCCCCAGTGATGAGATAGGAACCCTCTTCGCCATTGGAGACACAACCGTTACAAAACCGAACTATTTTTATCTAGAATGTGGCGTGACTAAAGATCGGCGAAGCAAATTGTAGGACAAAAGAACAGTTCAGGTCCGAAATCGCGTTGAAGACTAGTTAGTAAATGTAGGGTAGAACATGTTGAAATGAGTGAGTTGAGTTTGTTGGTCGGTGGACATGCTTTGACAGCCGCAAAATCCTCGATTGTAATGAACTGCATGAAATCGACGTACACGTAATCCATGCACAAGAGACTTCTGCCAAACTGTGTCACTTGGGTTGTCCGAATGGAATTAGGCTGACGTCAAGGAGCTGTGCATACGAAGCAACTATAGGACTGGTCTTAATTTATGACTACGGAACTTAGAACCTCCTGTGTCAGAACCTTAAACTATATTTAACTTTTGATCAGTCAAGTCTCCGTAGCACGGTAACATTTAGCCGGCTGCGGTGAGTACGCAGCAGAGTGACCCGTAACCTGCTAGAGCCGCAGGTTAAAATGTCTGAGGTATGTAATGCACATGCGCAACCACCGGCTGCTCAAAACAGTGTGAGTTCCCGTCCCAGGCAACCGTTGGCGAAAGGATCGCGGAGGACAGATAATCAAATGGCAACATAAAATGAAAGCGGTTACTGTCAAGTTGAGCGCTACGGGACCTTCTTGGCTGAAGACTGTAGCATATGGCACCTGACGGATTAAAGTGGTTCGCTTGCTGCCTATTCCTAACCAGAGTGACAGGCTAAGGTTCTTCTCCGGACGTCCATCGAATAACGTTGTCAAAAGATGCTGATCCGGTATGGTACTCGGGTATGTGTCATTTTGATGTTCCAAGGTGTAGGCATCCTAAGTGTCTTCCTAGATCACATGAGACTGTTACGAATTCCTCACACTTTACCTTCACCCGCTTCTAGGTCACTCATTGCTGATGGTCATTTGGTAGCCAAGCACCATTGTTTACTGTTGATTCATTGTCATGATGACGGTAACGATGAAGATAACGATGATGACGAGGGCAGTGGTAAGGGTGATGTTTTCAGTAACTTAATACGTAACGATCACAAATGAGAAAACGGATCAAATTAGGGTGCTGCCAAGTTGTCTAGTTTTAAATTTTAACCCATAGCATCAATGACCTGAGCACTTAGAAGTGCCATCAAGCTGTGATGCGCCCATCCTACTGCCACATTCAACTGATGGTCGCTGTCCACAGGCAGCTTATATACCGGAGTATCACTGTTGGACTCAATCGTTCAAATCAGAAAACAGTGAACAGGCGTATGCAAAAATAATACTCTGCTTTAAGACTCGATTCAAGGGGAAGTGAGCACTCAGCTTTTATGCCCAAAGCTCTCTTTTACTGCACCGAATGTTTTGCGATCCGAGGTTATTTCCACGACCAGTCAACGAGAATAGTTCACAGGCCCTGCCAGTTTTCGGCAAAAGTTGTGACCGTCGAGAGTTATGTGGGGTACAACTACCTACTCTTCGCTTTATAAAGATAACAGAATCTAGATTACGCATTTCGTCCTGACTGAACTCTTAAGCAAGAGAAACCAACTGGCTGTGAATAGATGGTAGGCTGGGTTATACTTCATGTACGTGACTGAACGCAGGTTCTATTGTGTTTTGCTGTCCAGTGATCCAACTCCTCCACTACGACCGCTTTCGAGAGGTCTGGTCAAACTGACTTCTAACATTAATGAAATTGAACCATGTATGAAACAAATATATGTTTTTTTCACATGTGGTGGAAAAACATATTTTTGCTTTTCAAGTAAACAGGCTTATTAATGAGTGATCCAAGGTTATGAAGCTACCCACGGTGCTCATTTGTGGTCGGCCCCGTAAGGACCCACCGCAGAATAAGTTTACTGTATCAAAATGGAACGAAAAGTGAGACTTCTTATCGTCTCCATTATTCAGATCCCCCATTTGCTCTGCCTCTAAAACAACAGATCACGAATTCCAAACGAAGTGATCTAAATTAGGTCTCCGATAAGAACAGCTCGACAGAATGTCATATTTCTGCTGAGAATGCAGTTCATGAGATAACGCTCATAGAGAGTGCACCACCCTAATACCTTGACAAAGCATCAGTAAAAACTTTTTAACACTCTAATCATAAAAGCAAGGTAACTAGCACACCACAGCAAGACTGACCATATCCATCATCACGATCTATTACGGCACCAGCAATAAATTTAGATTATTATATGGCCTACGAGAATTAGACATTCCCTTAACAACATTCATTTCCACCCTTCCCATTTTTTTCTTTTTTTTTTTACTGAACAATGTATGATCCGCACTCACTGCGCCTCCCTTTTTGTCAGCAGAGATTGTTTTATTGCTTCAACACTGACAGTTGCTATGCTTTAAAGCGAAGCTGACATCGATTTCCCAAGACTGTCATAAAGTGAACTCAGAGGAAACGACCGACTGCATGTTTCCATTAACAGCGGTCTCCTGAACAAATATGACACTGCAAATGAACGTATACTGTAAGTTAGAAGGAAATGCACACACAACCAGACGCCAAACGGGATGTTGCGCAAGGGAAAAATCGTTTTTTCAAGGTCCCTAGCAGGTAGAACGTTCTCACCTCTGAAATGCAGTGACATGCTACCTACATCTGCCAACTTCGAAACAGTCGATCTGTCTAGTGATCACACGATTTTCAACTTCTTCAGTAATATGGCTCTGAATGCTTAAGACGCGGTTAACACTAAAGCAAAGGTGTTTATTCGACAAAAAGTACATCATGCAGTAAAGACTTGCCTGCTCAAGGATTGATTCGAAGTAGAGTGAGCGCAATCTGACAGTCAAGCGCTCACCAGAGACACCGAAGAAGTAACCCTGCAATAAATATGCTGATGTAAGCAAAACAGCTCTAGCCTGTTTATGATATGAATAATGTAGATCCAAACGGCGGTCGTATCGCAAATTACTACAGTATGTTTTGGAAACCATACATGCTACTTCATTCCTTTGCGTAACGACTCATTCAGGTTGAAGACATAGCTTTGCAACAAATATAGACAGCTAACGAAGCTAATTGAATATGACGGTAGCAACCTTTCAATACGTAGCACGGGCAGTCTTTTAGTATAAGTGTGCTGACAGATAACTGGTAGTTGTTCTACTAAAAATAAGCCACAAGGAGTTAAAGAAAGTAATGTTCAAAGGGATTCATTTACAGTATGTGTTGGATCATCATCCCTTCATCCAGACAATATAACTGCTCAAAAGAAGCAATTTGGCTGGTTTCATGAGGTGACCTGAGAGGTGTCTTCCATGCAGACATAGTCATATGATCAATATGCCATTTAAGACCTACATCTTGAATGAGCTGAATATCTTCTTGATGGAACATGCTACCCACAAAGTTACTGAAAGCGCTTAGACAGCTCAAAACTGGTTTTACCCCACTTGCGGACCATTAGATAGGCTCGAGCTTCTGTTCATCTTGTGTTAAACTCGGACACCAAACTGAACGTAACTGACGAACCACACATTGGTGTTAACGGGAGATTTTCATCTTAACCCTCGTTGAATCACTCGCTTATGACAGCACATGATATCATATTACACCATATCTACCACATCCTATCATCCATATCATAAAAGCGGGGTTGAGCCAAAATTCACTCAAGTTTCCCATAAACATCAATTTAATCTGCAGATCAGTGTGGTCCATGAATTCCGCACAATCTGGCTTTCAATTGGAACATAAGGCGGAAATTTGGGTCCGAAGAAGGGTGAAACGGGTCACGGGCGGTCGAAGGGAACGTAGTCACCATGGTACTGTTGTGTTATTCCAAGAAAATATGCTCAAATATCTCTCTTATCATTCTGAGTGGCTCTAATTCCTTGTTACACGACTATCATCTATTAGTAGTCTGAACTTACTTGACCGAGACCGGCGAGGAACGCTATAAATCCCAAGAGAGCCATCATTCCAACGATTATATTGATCAGATCCTGATTTCCTTGCCCCAGTGAAATCTGCCTGAATATCTGAAAGTCGAGAAGAGTGCAGAGCAGAAGAGTTTAGTGGCAATGGGAAAAGTCTGCTACTCCCGAATCAAAGCAGTCTCGATAAGAAAGTCAACTTATTTACGCGTGACTAGAGATGTCGAGCAACGTGGTTTGGGAACGATACCAATGGTATTAGGTTTACATCCACATGAAATCATGGAATTCCACATGTTTTGTTAGATTGAAAATTTTAGGACGTTAATAATATGCACCTTATACTTGATGAACTTTTCTTCCCATTGAAGGAGAATAATGTGTCACATTATTATGGCCATGTTAAAGGCTAATTATTTCAACTGTGACAACTGATAACCAAATTAAATTCTGTCTTCTTCATGCTTGAATGTCTGAGCACAGATCTTCCTTGTGTTAATAATGAAACTAAAAAACCTGTAACTTGACATCAGCTCTTTATAATGATCTACAGTCTTCTGTTCAAAATGTTGGTTATTCTTTACCCCGTGGTTGTACGAAAGTGAAGCATTGGTGTTGGACCCTGATGTCATGCTTGGCGGTCGCCAAGACACCTCAGGATTCAGCATACGCAACTCAACTCGCCAGGATCAAGCTCGTAAAACACCAGCTAAAAATCAAAATCGAATTCGGGCCAGAAGAATGGAAGAGCTTTAGCCGTAAGTGAATCTCGGTTGCCCCAAGGAGTTTTTCTACTGGACTGGAAGAACTGTATTGACCGCTAGTCCAATAGATTCAGCTGGTAGAAGTTGAACAAACCGGTGAACTAGTTAGAAAAGAGAGAACGGTTTCTGTATGCTTGCAAACGTCACATTTTAACACTACTCAACCGGACAGCAGATGTTGATTTGAGCTGCATAGCCCATCCGCCCAAAAAGGTGATCTGCTTGGTCAAATTACGTGCATTCACAGAACTTCCGATGGTCATAAACCAACTGCAAATTGAGAGGGTACGATGACTGAACATCTTGCCTGCGAAAACCTTTCAGCTGGGAGGAGTGATTCTCCAGAAGGAACCTCTTTACTTGCTATTGCAGAATTTGGAGGTGGACGACTTCCAAAAGATGGTGTGCTGCGGAGATATTTGCTATCTCGGCAGCATACTATCCGCATGACGTGACATTTGATGAGGTGATAAACATAGGAGTTTCATATTTCAGCAAGGCGACTAATCGCCATGAGAAACGCATCCGGGGAGATCATCGCTTGTGTACTGTCTTTGAGAGACCTCACTACTGTATAGCAGCAAGACGTGGATGTTATGCAGATGATGTGTTCGGGTTCTCGACCGATTTCACCTGTCCTATTTGAGTGAAATCCTCTGGATGAAATGGACACCCGAATCCCGATCGCGGAATTCCGATGCAGAGCAAACACTATTGTAATTGAACACGGTCTAATGCGAAATTACCTGCGCTGGTATGAGCGCCTGTCAGGAACGGTCGAAACTTATGACCCAAAATAGGTTGTTTTCCATCAGTTGCAGAATGGGGTTCAAAATCGGGAGCGATCAAAATTTCGCTAGTAGGACTACTCAGAGTGAGAGAGAACCAACGCGGCAGTTTTTTGAGGCATTCGCGCACTACATACGGCCAGATAAAACTAAGATCCCTGTTTATCAATTATCACTAGATACACTAAAAATTCAGTGAATTTACTTTGAGAATATCGGCATGAGGACTTTCTTGCGTAGCAGATAACCCCTGTTTAGAAAACCCTGTTGAAATGTCATTAACAGTCGAATAATGATGATTCGCAGATTGATAATAATAGTTCGCCCAGCATTGAAACAGAATGAGCCATCAGAACCTCTTTGAAGATCAATATCATCATCCGCCGACTGTATAAATGCTGCATAGAGAACATCACAAAATTGTTCATCGATGACTTGGAATAATAGGGGTATATAGCGGTGCATTGGAGGCAAAAGCTGATATCATTGAAGCTGAGTATGCGACAATGTCTAACGTACTTTGCTGTTTAGTCACTGCAGGAACTCAATTAATTCTTTTTCACCCTCCACGTTGTGCAAAGTGTGCCGTTCCACTAAGTCGGTCGACTGACAAACGGAGCGCGTCACCAGGCAACCCGTGGGGTGTGATAAGCTCATCGATTGTGGGCGAATTATTTTTCCTACAAACCATTCAGCGTACTCTAGCACTGCTTATTTCCTGTTCCTACCAGACTCAACAAGCGTTTTGAGGACTCCAACAGCCAAACAGGTTTTCTACGAGAATAACAATGGGGGGAGCAACGCAGTATTTTAACAATACCCTTGACAAATAGTTTGACGTTATGCCTACACGACAGATGATACAGGTTAAAAAACACCTATTTGATACGGGGAACCACCACTTTAGCTATAACGCCGGGACTCATTCAGCTACTCAATTATGCAGGTCGGTTTATAACTTCAGTCAACCCATCCGCAGGACACTAGTCCGTCTTGCAGCGGTGAATTTGCAGTGTGGGGCGCATACAAAACCGTCAGACAGAATTACTTGGGTAAGTTGACACTGTTTGCATTCCGGCGGTATCAGATCCGGAATAAGCTATGACATCCGCATACTTAATAGCTCTGAGCAAACTCTCTGAAAAGATTCCGACTTCACAGACTTTGGGGACCTTGAGTGAGCTTGCATGCTCATGTTGATGAAGGTGAAAGGAAAAGGGAATGAAGGTAGTCTCTCTCAAAACAACTGGATGTCCAAAACACGATCGGGAGCTGAACGTAGACCTTCTTGCATCCAAGGGGGTTGATGCACAGCGTCTTCAGGAGAGTCATGAATTCTTTGTTCCATAGACAATCTTACTACTGATACTGCTGAGCTACGGTAGTTCTCCAAATATAATGGAATCGCATGTCTCTAGCAGACTTGCTATGGCCTGAAGAAATGTAAACTGTCAGACATGCTCGCATTATGGTGTCAGTGGAATCTAGTTGTGTGCCTCGGAATGTGAGGTAAACTTAACTAGTGGCTCTCTAACTGCGTACCAGTTGGTTTCATGTTTAACTTGCACTTGGTGGCCGTCAGGCTACCTGGTATGAGCGATTTTTGTCGAAATGTTTAGTGAACATCAGACGTCGCCCTCACTCGTCTGTTCAGTGAACATGGACCTCCAGGTTGCTTAAACCGAATAAGTTGATTTGAGATACCACCTCGACAAGCAAAGTTTTGACCCAGAAGGCAGTGAGGACAGGAAGAGTCTCTGTTACGGGATCCTCCTCGAAACCGGTGACTCAATACCCTGATCTGCTTGGATGCAGTAGGTCGTTCTAGCCAATGCCACATAGAATAATGCATAATCTTATTCCTGATGCTACTACGCACATCAGATGCTTTTCAAGACACATCAGGTTGTTGGTAGATTTCAGATTCATTCCAGCTGAATTCAATAAATTGCAGGCAGCCACGATGAGATGTAAGACGATCTGTGTCCAGTAATTAGAGTCGACATTTTCAAATATGTTGCTATTCGGAAGGAGGCATTATCGCCGTTCCGATTGACGGAAGAGTGTTGACGGCCTGAAGAGAAAATATATTACTACATTCACACTCCTATCTCAGTTAAAAAAGAGACTTAAACCCCAGACGATTATCTTCACCTGCACATCGGGTTCTCACTGATCTTCGCCTCATTGCTTTCCGTTAGATTTTCTAACATGCTTGCAGTGGCCAGTATAGTCTACGCACTCATTGTAGTACTCAGGTTGCAGCTTTTGACCGGGAAAATGTTATAGTAGGAAACCAGCTAATTCCATAACAGTTACGACCTTCGTCAGTTTAACTATGCCGCAAGAAACAAGGACATTCGGGCATACCTATCAGACTTTATGTACATGAGAAGCGTTAAAACTCACACGTAGAATGTTAACCACTAGATTCGTTAATAAGCAGGATAGCGTACCTAGCGAATTATTTAATATCTACTCGTAATTACAAAGACATAAGACAAGTTATTTTTAACGCATTAGTTCATCGCCTTGGTGTCTTTTCTTTTGTATGGATATGATCCAGCCAATCCAGCTGGTTTGTTCCACGATATCTTACAGTTACGGCAAAATCACGTGAATTTGAGTGACAATAGCGCACTTTGCTTTGAGTTTTAGAATTCCAACCAAGCAACTGTACAAATGCCCTCTGTAATTTTAGTCAGTTCGGAAAACAAAGCAGATCTGAATAACCAAGTGCAGTTGTGCAGATAATCGGTGAGAAGGAGTTCTGTAAGACTAGGTTTTGTGGAAGGCAAATATTGCCCAAAATGATTATAAAAAAATCAGCGAATACCAATTTATCATAGGAAATAAAGGTGAAATGTGATATGAAGGATGACAGAGCTTGCCTGAAACGTCCATTTCCCACAATAGCTGTTCCATCCCCATTGCTACCGAACGAGTAGTGACTATCCAAATCTTTAGATTAGAATCTGTGATATTCGAGTCAGAAAGCAGCACATAGTAGGTAATTATGTCAAACAGTTTTGGTTTCATTTCTGTGGAAAACTCACATCAAAAAGCTGGGAGTAGAGAATCGCAAATGCAGGTTGTACGCCTCCACTGATCACACAACAGATGCATCCCAGTATGATATGAAGGAGCTCCGGTCTGTTCAATTTTAGCAACCTTGCGATTGGCGAATGACGGATTTTCTGGAACTGTTCGAGAAGTAGGATACACAGCATGTTTAAGAAGAACAAATATAGATTGTTGCCGCCAATTTCCTGCAAGCTGTACACAAAACGCACTTGGTTAATAAAACGATCGTTTTTAGCAATTGCTCCTTCCAGGCCAACAAGTGGTTCAGGATTTTCAACACACTCATACATCTGTGTTGGACTAAAACTAAACCGTCGAATGTTATTTGATTTTGAAATTACGCCTACTATTCCAGAACTAGCTGTCACTGAGACCAGTTAGAAGAAATACGGATGAAGCGCGAGGTAAATAATCGGTGCGCTTGGCACCACTACTGGCTTGGATAACCGAGCGCATAATATTTTGGATTATCATTTTGATGACCCGAGCTATTCACAAATTGCTCAGGTATGAAAACGATGAGAACATTAACGTTCGGATTACGTAATCTCCTTCCTCTATTGGAAGTCATCGGAGAATGCCATGCATTTATTTGTCCCTTAATCATCATCATCGACAGCATGCATCAGTGTTCAACACTGATGCTTCACTGCCGTCCCTTAATTCCTGGTCTGACTCGTAAACACTCAGAATGGTTACCTCAGTGGCAGCAAAACTGTGACTTTTCACGAAGCCTGTTATCTCATAGTTATCCTTACGTCCTGTGCAGAATCGCTGCCTATTATATTTGGTTTGGGAAGGACTTATGCAAGACTGAATATTAAACTTTCTGATACGTGGCAACCTCAAAGCATACGGTTGACCTTGGAACAACTTTTTCAGAGATAATTTTCTAGATAAATTCTTAACTACTCCGATACCCCGTCACGAAGAGACTGGACCTCACCGTGGTGTGACGGTTTGCGCACCTCAG